CTTCCCTGCCAGCTTCCCACAAGCAAAGTCAATGGGGAAGCCAGCAGGAAGTCAGAAGTCGTGGTCGTGGTCACATGCGATCCTTGCTTAATGACCTGTGGTGATTCGCTTAACAACAGTAACTGGGGACTTCCAAAACTGCCATTGCTAAGTGGCGTGGTCACATGACATCACACTTTATGACCACATCACTTAGTGATGGAAATTTCAGTCCCAATTACTGTTGTTAAGTGAGGACTACCTGGTATCAAACTTTTGAAGTACAATTTTTCATTGCCACTGATATGACTTGATGGATTTTGAATTTGTTTTGTGCCTTCAAGAATTGAATATAATACAATAAACATCAGAGGGTTGTCGTTATGGGGAAAAATAGGCGGAGGGAACACACTGAGTTCCTGAATGTAAGACGTATGATGGAATGGAATTATGAAGGCCAAGCTCAGGGAGATAAGCATTTTCTTAGCTCACCGGAACCACGTGGGAGGAACAAAAGGATGAGACTGACACCTCCCTGAGGAATTCACACTGTTGTGGCTGGGGGACTTTTGGGACTGGGGGTTTGTCTGGGGAGATTCTTGCTAGAGGTTGTAGCTAATAAACATAGCTGGACTGAATTTGCATGGTCTCTTGGAGTTCCTTGGGCTAGGCCTGACAGACAGCTTATATAGGGTATACCAAAAATCAGGTCCCATAGACAAAGTCAGGCCCCATAAACAATTTATTATATTCATTTATCATTGACTGTTGAATTGGTTGTGATTTCTTTCTAACCACTTCCTTATTTATTTGACACGTGACCTTTGAACATTCTGAAGTACAGTCATGTTTTCTCAGACAAAAAAAAATTGTGATTGGCTTATGGGGCCTGACTTTTGGTACACCCTGTATATCAGATAGATAGATAGATAGATAGATAGATAGATAGATAGATAGATAGATAGATAGACAGACAGACAGACAGACAGACAGACAGACAGACAGACAGACAGACACTACATTCCTGTGCATTGTCTAAGATTAAGGCCAACTGAACTCAAGGGGGCTTGCTTCTCAGTAGCATCCTTTGGTTTATACTATTAACAAATTATTTATTGAACAAACTCTAAAAAAAAGGATGCCAATATTTTGACATAGGTCCAGCCTGATATGGAAGACATTGAATGTGGACTGGAAGATGAGAAACGAGGACGGTTGCAATATTCTCTAGAGTATGACTTCCGTAGCCAGGAGGTATGTTTCACAAATCCCAGGGTGACATATCTGCATTCCTCTTTTATTACAAAGTGGTATTAAATAGCAATGCTTCTGTTCCTTCCTGCATTTCACGTGTTTCATTTTCATGTAGGCAGCTTTGTATGCCTTCCCTTACTACACAAAGATTATTCTTATCCAACTATGGCAAATTTTAGAAAAGCTGTTGTCCTAGTGGCAAATGCTGATAACCTGCAGAGCTTCTGGGTTCTTCTCATTCATTACTACTCCAACAGAGCTTGTCTGTCTGTCTGTCTGCCTCTCTCTCTCTCTTTCTCCAGCCTGTAAGGTTGCCTAACCCCATAACCCTTTTAGGCAGTGTTCTCTATTAAAAGCAGCTTAAAACAATACAAATCAGAAAAACAGTGATGAATGTCCAAGAAGAGCAAAACAAACATACCCATTAAGCATGAAACATTGCCACAAGGGACCTGCCGCTTACCCTAGTCTTGGGGGAAGAACCAGGTTTTAAGGGCTTATTTAAATTAGGTCAGGATAGGACCCATATGGATCTCTGGGGAGATGCTTTTTGAGAGGGCAGGTACTGCAACAATGAAGATCTGCTTCCTGAGTCCCATAAGATGACACAATTTAATAACTCGGATCCAAAGCACGCCAAGGATAGGCAGACACTACAAGAGTCAGACAGCTAGTCCCTATGGCATAAAGGCCTTTATAGGTGGTAACCAGCACCTTGACTTAAACTCATAAACCTACTGGTAACAGGTACAGTTCATGAAGCAGAGGGGCTACATGGACATGATGTGGCATGCCCATTACTGCCCATGCTGCTGCATTCTAGACCAGCTGCAACTTCCATCTTCAAGGGCAACCCTATATAGAGCTCAATGCAATCATCCTCTTGTGAGACAACCAAAGCATAAAAGACTGGAGGGGCTCCTAGTTCAGAAATGGGCACAAATGGCACACAAGATTATGCAAAGGCCTTCCTGGTCACAGCTACCATCTGTTCCTTGAAGAAGAGCTATGAGTCCAGAGAGACCCTGCCCCCATAGCTATAACGTGATCATCTGCCCAACAACCAAGGACAACAAAACTTGTCCAGGACCATCGGGTCCAGCAATGGCTTCTTAAGGAGGGGGCATACAGTACCACCACTTCCTTTAAGGCAGGCAGAACCACCCCTGCCCTCAACAAAGCTGACACTACCTCAAGGACCCAACTACACCTCATCTCCTGGGCAGCTTTTACCAGACAGGAGAGGCATGGTTCTAATAAACAGGTGCATGGGTTAATAATCCCAAGGATCCTTTCTATTTCGTCAAGAGTATCAGGTTCAAACACATCTCAGCTAACCAAGAAAGACTGCTTCAGACACTCAGCCTGACTTATCCCGGCTTTATCTTCCAGATGCATAGAATATTCTTCATAGTAGCCCTATAAATGGTCCTTTAGCTCATCCCTCCCCAGCAAGGAAGAAGTCACTTTGAAGGGGGCAACTGGGTGACACTCATCACACACCCAACTGAGGCAGTGACTAAGGCTTCAGTTGAACTGTCCACCAGATCCTCAGGGAGAACTCCAACCTTCCACTGAAACCCACCTGGGTTCATTAGATGGCTGTGGTTGCTAAATAGGTCTTCCCTCCCTGTGATGTTCCAGCAACACCTGCAAGCTGGAAAGCAGTCAGAGAGTGATCAGATCATGGCAAAGGACTGGTGGTAAAGTCTTCCACTAACAGATCCTATCACAATTGCTTGAGACAAAACACAGATCTAACATGCAACCCAGCATGTTTTGGACCCTAAATGACTTAAGTCAAGTCCGTGAATTAGGTGACCAGTCGACCTAATGCCATCTGGGGCAAATTAAAATTTCTCAACTGCCAACCCAGTGGTGGAATCTATCAGTTCAGTCAAGGATGTTGTCATGCAGCAGGGAGACCAATATAGCAGCAACAAACCCAACTGTTCCCTAGAGCCAAACTTCAGCCAGATACTTTTCCATTTTGGTTTGCTTTCCTATTCCATTTCTAGCCCACTTCTACAGATTTTCAAACTATCTGAATTTGATACATATTGCCCATTTCAAGAGTTTAATATTTTTGAATTGATTCTCTTTAAGTTGAAGGTTGGAGTGAAACAGGCAGCAGATCTAAAGGCCATGGACAGTGGAGGTACCTCTGATCCCTACGTGATTGTCTTCCTGACATCTGACATAAGGAAGAAGTATGAAACAAAGGTTCATCGTAAGACGCTCAATCCTGTTTTCAATGAGAGCTTCGTTTTTCAGGTAGGAAGCAAGGCCCTCTTCAGTTCATTGATCTGTTTCAGTTCAGTTTGGTATTGTTAACATTTAACTTAGAAGTTTGCAAAAATATTCATTGACAATCTTTATTAAAATTTTCAGTGTTATTCCATGGGCTTTGTTAGTTGAATTGACTTCACTGAGATTACAGCCAGGTTAGCGATAAATGAATTGCCACATTGAGTTTACAAACCCTGTCCTCCATTGAAATCACTTGGAGACTTCTACAGCATGTGTTTAGGATTAAAAAAAAATAAATCAAATTATGGATTCAGATCAAGGTGCTGGTTATTACCTATAAAACCCTTCATGGCATAGGGTCTGGTTCTTTGAGGTCTATCTCTGATAGTTTCTGCCCATCAGGCAGAGTCGGTGTGCTCTGGGTCCCTTTGATTAAATACTGTCATCTACCAGGAACTAAGAAACACACCTTCTTTGTTGTGGCACCTGCCTCAACACCATTTCCCATCCCCCGCCCCCCAAGATCCATGCAGCTCCCACCCTGATGAAGTTCTGAAAATCTTTGAAGACCTGGCTGTTCTCCCAGGCCTGGGTATACAGAAGGAGTAGAACCCCTGTTAGTTGTTTTTTGTTATATTGTATTTTTTTTTCTGGACACGCATGATACTTTTTTTTTCTGTTTTCTGTCCCCCCCACCTTACTTTTTAAATTTTAAGCTACCCAGAGTCATCTGGAGTTGGGTGTCCTCTAAATTTAATAAATAAATAAAAAAGTATATACTGCATGAAAAATGCAAAGCTATTAGAAATATATATTTGAATGTCATTTAATAAGCAGCTGAACTCATACCACTCCAGTGTGTTCTTACAGTCCAACAGTTATTTATTTACTTCCTTCCTTACTATATTTGTATGCTGCCCATTCTCAGAGGTTCTAGGTAGCTAACAATAAATAAATAAACAATAAACATACAAAAATACTGCGGACCCCACCTGAATACTCCAGACTGAAGATAATTTTTTTGATGAAGCGGATTAAGTGATTGTTCTGTAGGAAAGACAAGCTAAAGGAATGGTCTCGGGTACATTAGAAAGGCAAACAGAAGTTGGCTCCTGGGAATGATGAGGAATAATGATAAGGAAGGTAGATGGTAAGGAATATAAGGAACGGGAAGGTAAAAAAAGCTGAGATTTTCAGCTGCTCTAATAGCCTTCTGATGTTTGGCCATCACATCTTCTAATAAAGGATTCTCAGAGTATCTGGTCCTCGAGGGAACTCTGGATCTCTCTGGATCAGGCTGGATCCAGGCTTGGCTAAATGCTACAGGATTTGAGGTTTTAAATAGCTATGAAGTAAGTGGTTACAACCACTAACATAAAGGGCAATCTACGCTAGGCATGGGAGGATGCATTAAAAGAGCAGAACAAGGCAGTTGGAGAGAACAAGGTCCTGGGGCTTCCTTGCACGTAGGTAAATGAACTTGTGTCAATAAACATGTAGCATGGGACTTTTGTACTGATGTATAATTCCTACATTTTGAAATTATAGGGATCATTATCCACCTTGAAGGCTGCAAATAACAACAACAACAACAATAATGACAATATTGTCCCAGGTCAAAAAACATTTGATAGAATTGGCAATATAGAAAGACACTATCTTTTTTTTTAATACTTTTTATTAAAGAGTTTTACAATGTTAAAAGGTAATACAAACTGAAATCAGCAAAAAAGAGAAAAGTATAGAAAAAATGAATACAAAGTGCAAAAAGGAAAAGAAAAAAAGAAAAGAAAAGAGAAGAGAAGAGAAGAGAAGAGACATAAGAAAAAAAAGTATTTAAAGAAGTGACTCCCGATCTTCCTTGCAACAAGTATAGGCAAATTAATAGTTCCCCACCTCCTATGAGATTACTGTACATACATGGTTCCCCTTTTCCTATTCACAGATCCAAAAATTGTTGTTTCTGTCCAAATGTTCCAAAAAGGGTTTCCAGAATTTTATAAAAAATATTCCATATTTTAATCCTGATCAAACAAGTCAACTTTAAATTCATTTCTTTTGCTTCTAACAATCATAATCTTTAGTTGATCGAGTTGCTATCATAGGACTGAATCTCCATGTGGACTTTCTTTCTCCCATCTCAAATACTCCTTTCAAGGTTTTAGAAACCTTCTTTTGTAAATCCAGAGAAAAAGACTAAAATTATCAAGGCAGCAGAGTAAACTTGGAGGATACATTATTACTAGAGGCATTCATCGTCATTCGTTTTAAATGGCATTGAATATTATTAGGCAAATTCTTGGCTGATAGGCTTATCAATGGCTGTTAATCAGAATAGTTGAAACTGAAGTCCCCTGATTCAGAAGCATCTGAGTTTCAGATATAGCTACTACTACTATACTACTGCTACTATGCTCCATGAGAGCCAGTTTGGTGTACTGGTTAAAGGCACTGGGCTAAAAACTAGAAGACTGAGTTCTAGGCCTGCCCTAGGCACAAAGTCATCTGGGTGACCTTGGACCAAGTCATTATTTCTCAGTCCTGGGAAGTGGCAAACCACTTCCGAAAAAGCTTGCCAAGAACACTGCATGGATTGTTCAGGCAGTCTCCAGGAATCAAGAATGATTCGAAGGCATACATATGCACACGTACAAAACTATGCTCCATACATTGTTGGAGACCCAGTGTTGGGCAAGATGGGTCTTTGACACAACCTTTTGAGACCATTCTTACATTGCAGGATGATTTTCCCATATCACACAGATAAACTGCTTCATCAGGTCCCTGTAGTTTCAGAAAGACATAGGATTTCATCCATTGGGAAGTGGTAGAGGTCAAATTGCCATTCCCTCTTTTCCTCCTCTCTAGGTCTCCCAGGCAGAGGTAACTGAGGCCATACTGGTCATGCAAGTGTATGATTTCAACCGCTTTTCCAAACATGACATAATGGGTGAGGTGTGTCTGCCTCTTGTGGATGTGAACTTACAGCATGTAATGGAACAATGGCTTGATCTCTCTCCAGCTGGCAAGATACAGGTACGTATCTCAGATGTGAGGGTGACGGATTCTTCTCATTAGAGTGATCTGGCATCTTATTCATGCAGGGCAAGGGAAGCAACTCCCAGCCCCATTTTTGTGGGGCCAGAACCATATGGACATGGAAACAAATGGTTGATTTTCAGTGGTGTTGTTTGTCACTTCAGATCACAACAACAACACTAAAAAGGGAGCAATAAGCTTCTGGCAAGCTGAATAACTGTTTTGTTTCCATCTCAGGCTCTCCAGAAATGGAAAAATAAGGAGCAAATCATTTAGATTCCTTCCTTACTAGTGATGCCATCCCCTCACTGTCACACCTCCTGTGGACCTCCCAGACTGGACAAACAAACAAATAAACAGACAAGATAACTCTGTCCCTTGGTCACAGAACACCTGCTCACCCTTGATGCAGGGGCCATGCTCATTTGTGAGCAAATCTCACAAACGTTCGCATAATGTAATCTTGAAAATCTGGAGCTGGGGAAGGAAAATGCTGACTGGTTCTGTTTAATCAAAGAGTTAGGTGTTGTGGCTGATTCTCCTGATCACTGAAAAGTACTCTTTCAGGTTTAATTATGCAGATTGTATCACTTTACTATTATAGAAGTGTAATTATATAAAGAGCTGTTTCCCATACGGGAGGTTTTGTAAGTTCTTCTGCATGTGAAGCGTATGTTGCCAAGGAAGGAAGGAAAGATCTTTTGTGAGGTAATATAATAGGATGTATGAAAATTGAGGGGGTTGTGGCCCCCCAGATGCTGCTGAACTGTAACTCTTAGCTGTTGGCCAACCTGGCTGGGACTGCTGAAAGCTACAGAGTACAGCAACTTCTAGTTGTCTCTCCTCCTTACTTGTAAGGTAAAGATAGCACTTGCTCAATGTTTGCTCCCAGGCTAGGGCAGTCCCTATGAAAAGAGATTAAACTAAATTACTCTCTGTTATCCTTCTGTGAATAAACAACAACAATACAAAGTTTGTTTTAGGTAGGGTTTTAAGGACAGGTAAAATGGCCCTGTTGTTCACCTAGTCTCTAATTTGTGTGTGTGTGTACCATTTTGTTCTTTGTACTATTAGCTGCCTTGAGCACCATTATTTGGTAGAAAGGCAGGGAATCAATAAAGTCATAAATCTGTTTAGTTCCAGTTGTGTGCAAAATTTGAGGCACCCCTGTTCAGATTGTAAACTTTGATAAATTCCCAAATGAACAGATGCTATCTCAACTCTTACATGGTACAAGGTTAAACTCACCACCTTGCTGCAAATTTGAACACAGTCTTACAATTTATGTGTGGTTGTTTATAGATTCACAATAAGAACACTGTGACTATGACAGGTGCAGAAATGCAGACACCCTTTCAGTTGATTCGGTGCTACATGTTTTACAGTACAGTGGTTAATAAGGCCCCTAAAGGTGATTAAGACTAAACTCTAATTAAGTCTACAGTTAGTCAATTGTCTACAGTGAAGACAATTCCACTGGGTATATAAATACTCTGAACCTTCAAATCTCTCAAGCTGTGACGTTCTGTTTATTTTCAACAGACCTTGACTCTTCTAAAACAGCTGTCTGAGTATTTGAAAATGAAGAGAATTCTGTCTTACAAAGTAGGAGAAGGCTATAAAGGAATCTTTAAACACCCCTAGCTAGCAATTTCAGCTGTGAGAAACATTGTGAGAGGAAAGTTACATGGAACTGTGGAGGTCCAGGCTAGATCTGGAAAACCAAGGAAAATCTCTGCTAGAACTACTTGAAAGGTGGTCAGAGAAAGCCCACAGTGAATAACCTGCTGAAAAGTTTAGCTGGCAACAGACTAGTTGTCTGTAGGTCCACAATACAGTGCTGTTAATGCAACAATGATCTGTATGGGACAGTTGTCAGAAGGACATCTTTTTGCTCACCACAAAAGTTATTATATAATATGCACAAAAGAAGAATGTTTCAGTGAAAATTTTGGAATAAAATGCTTTGGACTGATGAAACAAAAATTGACCTGTTTGGCTAGAACTACATAAGATACATTTGAAGAACAATGTGTGGAACATTTGAAGAAAAGAGCACTTTGTCAACCATTAAGCATGGGGCTGGCCCTGTTATGTTTTGGGACTGAGACATACTCATTGGCGTAGGAAATACTGGGCAAGTGGAAGGAAGAGCAGGTTCCCTAAATATCAACGTATCCTGAAAGTTAACGTCCCACAGTTCAGTGAAGGCACTGAAACTGAAGAGAGATTGGTTATTTCAGAAAGGTAACAATATGAAGCTTAGTTACAAATCAACTACAAATCATTCACAGAAAACAAAAGTAAAGGTTTTGGAAAAGCCTTCACAGTCCCCATATTTGAATAATTTTGAATAACTGTAGAGACATCTCAAACATGCAGTATATGCAAGGAGATCTAAAATATGTCTGAATAGTTCTGCAAGGAAAAAAACATTTGCAAAAATAAAGAATAGAGAGACGTGTAGCTGGCTATAGGAAACATTTGGAAACTTTTATTCTGCCAAAGGTGATATTACAAAGTGTCCAAACTTTGCACCTCCCATATTCACTGTTTTCATATTTTAAAGCTATAAAGAACTGCACATAAATGGCATGTGTTCAAATTGGTAGAAAGATGCTGTGTTTAATTTTGTACAGTGTTGAGGTTGTGTCACCTTCTGTTCACTTAGGAAGTTAGTGGCACATAGAACTTGACCAGGGTGCTGAAACGTTTGCATGAAACCATATAGTTTAGGTCCACAATGCAGTCATCATTGTATGTTAAATAACTTATGACTTTCTAGGTTCAGACATGGTTAACAAACTGCAGTGGTGGATTTGCCTAATATATTAAGGCAAAACCAAGCAAATCACATTATGGTTATGCTGTGTGAGCTAAGCCACTTAGAAACAGTTGGTACTATTATTAGTTATATCAGCTAAATCATACTAGGATAATGGGAATGGTATTCCAGCTTCTTGAGGGCATCAGATTAGGAAGATAGATTTCATATTTTTAAAATACCTAAAAATAACTGGGAACATTCCAGAATGCTGTTTAAAAAATAATTTGTACAATGCATCATTTCTAAACAACAGAATGCTAAGAAAGACTGAAATTTTATAGGAATCCAAACAAAAATACTGTTTATTGCCCTAAGTATGTAAGGATAAGTAAAATTAGTTCTTAGTGGTGAGACATTCTATGCATGTTCAGACAATCACTTTTCTTTATGACAAACTCTTATTCCAGTTCTGCTTTTTGAAGTAATTGAAGTCTTCAAAGATGGAAGGGATAAATGGGTGTCATTAAATAATTAGGAAGTGATTAAATGTGATCTGTAATTATTATTTAATTATTTTAACTATATGTAATATTAATTTGTTCATTTTGTATTCTAGATTTTATTTTTTATTATTTGCCAAATGATATTCTTTGGTAGTAAAATAGGCTATAACTCCAATGACTAAATAATAATAGGCCTATATAATCAACATAGTGGCAAGAAATTTACCCATTTTGTACCACTGGAGCAAAGCCAACTCATAACTTAATATCTGGCCACTTATGCTGTAAAGACTAAGAGGACAGACATAAGCTTTTTTTTTTCAAAGTAAAGATCTGCTTGCAATATGTACTTCTTGTTTTTGGTCAATTATAAAACCAATTACAAAATGCTATAATTGGCAATTGTACCATACAAGTAGTCCTCACTTACTGACTGCCTCGTTCAATGACTGTTTGAAGTTACGATAGCACTGAAAAAGTAGGCTTACAGCTGGTCCTTGAACTTGCAGCCATTGCAGCATCCCCATGGTCACATATTGCAATTTGGGTGTTTTGTAATCAGTGCAGATTTATGACGATTGCAGTATCCCATGGTCCATGATTTTTTGCAAGCTTCACAGCTGGCTTCCGAGAAGCAAAGTCTATGGGGAAGCCAGCATGAAGTCACAAGTCACAGTCACGTGATGTTATGCTTAACAACCTGCGGTGATTTGGTTAATGACTGCAGCGGAACTGATGTCCTAAGTCTGGCACAGTCATGTGACATTTCACTTAATGACTGCATCGCTTAACGATGGAGTTGCTGGTCCCAGTTGCGGTCAGTAAGCGAGGATTACTTGTATTTTCTCTGTGGGTCAGGAATGAAGCTGGGGAGCCACTTTCAGTTCTAATAGCACAGCTTGAACTTTGGTTAGACAGATAGAGAGAGAATAGATCTGGGTGACAGAGCTACAAATACAGTACAATCAGGATTCACCCAATCTCCTTGTTTCAGTTTGGCATAGTTAAACGCTGCCGCTTACTGCACCAGTTGTAGGCTAAACTGAACATATGAAGCTTACTGAACGATTCTTCAAGGTCGCTTCCAGAGGCAAACTGAGTTCAAACTTTGAAACAAGCTCTGGGCCTCAGTGATCCTATGATATTGGCAGTGTTCAGAAGCTGAACTGATTTCTTTCAAGCTCAGCTGTGGGGTAACTGAAACCACAATGCCAGGCTAATATTTTCTGTGAAATGTTGTGGTTCTGTGGACAGTCTCTCGCCCCATTGGTAAGAACATCTGCCTCATCCTGTTTCCTAAGTCCTGGGTTTCAGTTTTTTTCAAGGGGAAAAGTGCCTTGATGTCATTTCTATTGTCCCGAATAAGATTTTTTTTTTTTTGACATATGTTTAACTGACATACAGTATGCAACTTCAAATAAGGACATAGATGCAGGGGAGGGTGTGCAAGCAATTCATTTTATGCCTATTTTGTTTGGAATGAGGATGAGGAGTTTGTTCCTGGAGAAACAAACACCAGGTTATAGTGGAGTGGTGATTCTTTGCTCCTTGTTCTCATTGCTGAGAGGTCACAGAAGGAAATATCACTTCTTGCCCTTTTGGCTCAGATCAAGTGTTGTATCTGTTCTTGTGTATCATCTTCAGACTGAGCAATTGGGGCGTGCATATGGTGGTAGGGTGGACGTCTCTTGAATTACAGGAACTCTGTATCCTCTAGTAAAATCCAT